CTGTGATTTGTCCATAGTAGCCAATGTGTGTTCCATCTTGCATGAAGTGCCATTGAGAAGAAACCTTGAGGTATGAGTTTATTGGCCAGGGAATTATCTCTACAGTTCCTTCTTCTACATAAAACTTCAAGACCTTCTCCATTAGATGACTGCAGTTGTTCTTATAGATCACCACTTTCTGTACTCCAAGAATCTTGTACATTTCCATACTCTGTATAAACTGCAAGACATTGTTGTAGTTTCCAAACATGGCAGAGATGCATACAGTGAAGTCAACAGAAAAGGTCTCAGCCTTGCGGTTTTTAATTTCAAACCTTGGCAGCTGGTCAATATTTCCATGTGGAGACTGATGAATTGATACATGTGTTGGATCACAGTTTTCAGGTTCCAAACAATCTATATCTGCTGCACCGTAAGGGAATCCAAATCTATCTGAGTGAACATTGATTTTTGCTTTTGATACATAAATCTTTCCATTGGGCTGACAGCAGAACCAGCAGTACAGTTCTTTTACATCTTCATGGTGAACAATCCCAATCACACGGGTGACTTTGCTTTCTCTGTCATCAAAGTATGGGGATATAATAAAAGTTTTGTTCCCTTCTAATGCTGTTATTGTGCTATTGGTAACTTTCCCTGCACACCTGCTACATTCTTGAATTACTTTTGGCTGGTGAGAAAGTCTTTGTAACCTAAGATAAGAAACTGTGACCATTGAAGTTAGAGTAATAATGCACACAGCAGCAGCAAAGAAAGATTTTTTCCCACCACACAACATTCTGAATGTATCTAAATGTGGATGCAAATTTCTTTGTCCTTGTACTTTATGCTGCCGCATCTGCAGAGAAGAAAATAGGTAGTATGAGATAATATCAACTCATGATCACTGCTCAAGAATTTCAGAAACAAGAATGGGTTAAGTCTCTATCACTGTGCACTGACTTAATCAGAGACCCAGCTACTATGCTTTTATGAAAGCTCAATCACAGAACACACCTTTAATGGTGTAGATGATACTGTATGTGACATTCTGAATGTCTCTATTTCTCAGATGTGCAGAGCAGTTTCTGTGCACGGTGGGTTCTGTAGGAGAATATACAAATTAAATGTATATATAATTAATCAAGTTCATAATAAACATGCTAATTGGCGATTGCACACAATAGTCCAGATATAATCACTAACGCATAAATTCCCTAACTCGTAGTTCACCACAGATGAGACAATATGAAGGTCAATTCATACAATCCAGCAGAAGACAGGTGAAATATATGCACATCTAAAACTTATCCTCAGTTTGCAACTCTGCCCTCCTTGCACTGGACAAGGCAGGGCTTTTGCAGGAAGCACCACCACATCTTATGCTTGCTAGATACGTGTGCCTCCTCGCACTGCATTAAAGCTGGCCCAGCTCCTGGCATGGTTTGGCGGTCAGGTCTTAAACTCTTGGCTGCTGCAGAAACAAACAAGCATCCCTGAGTACCTCGATGGCCAAAGTCTTCAGCAGCACTCATGCTAGCTGGTGCTTAATGCCTGAGAGAGAGCTCAAGGCCCTCTCAAGCAGTAATTTCTGCAAGTGCAGCTCATATTAAAGTTTCCTCTACAAATTCATCTCTAGGCATTCAGATATGATCCATAAACAGTAAAGTGGCAGCAAGTCTCTTCAAAGGCCTGTTTGTACCACAGAAATTCTTAGAAAAATAATGCCCCAGGTGAATCAAATTCATGTCAGATCAGAAAACTGGACCAGCAGAAGATAACCAACTGCCATCAAGAAGTGTGGGGTAAAATGCCAAGATGGAATAAACTGATGCTACTGCACAAGACAATGTTTCTAGAAGACAAAAAATAATTGTCCTTGCCTTCAGAATAATGTAAAATAATTTCACAATTGCTCTTTCATGAAAAAGCAAACTACGGTCACAACACACCCTTTAAAATGCCCTCTTTGCTAAGACTGATGTGATTTACAGCAGCCTTTGCTATCTACAAGACACTGCTGTACAGACCAGAACAGTCATCGGGCACCAGAAATCTCACTACCTCCCATTAGGCACAAAGCAGAACAGCAGCAGCAGAAAGCACTGACTCTTCTGTCTCTGGAATGGAGAGTAGCCCCCAGAAGTCCTTACAATTAAGAGCAAAACTGCAAATACATGGTAAGAGTCTGCTACTGTCACACAACTTGCAGCTGGAGATTTCTGACTGAAAACAAATTTTCTAAGTATTTTTTATGAAACATTTTAAAGTACAAAAGGTTTTCCCCAAGCATTCTAATTCCAAGGATATTATATATTTTAACATTCTTACAACATAGAGTAGGTCATATTTAACATTTTTTCCTTGGTCTTATCTATTTATGACTTAAAATATTGTTCCGTCTTATAGAATAAATAGGTTTTAACTAAAGAAATATCAAAACATGTTGACATTAAGTAATACAATCAATTTATTACCTGTTCTTTCTTCAGCTTTTGCTAGCAATACATAATGAACCAGAAAACTGTGTTTTAAACAGTGATCACTGGAAAGGAAAAAGTACCTTTTAAAGCAGATAGCTGAGTGAAGTTCTGTTCAATCCGCCATTTATTTTTTGCTAAGCCATTTTGCTAAGATAATCTACCAATTGTTTCTTTTAAACAGATAAAAACTTAAGCATTTTTAAGATAAATTGCAAGAATTGTTCAATACAGAACAATACTGAAGGAAAAAGTCCTGGTACAGTAACTAAGACACTTGCCGAGTCATTTCAGATAGCTGGTGCTCTTTTAATATTAGTAATAGGAGCCACACCTACCAGAAAAACAAGTTTTCCTTCTCTTGAGCAAAGCATGGAGTTGCATCACAAGAAGTTAAACTACAAACGAGCGTGGAGTTGTTGAAACAAATCAAACATATAGGTGAATTTTTTAAGGCCACTAAAGTTTCCTTCTTGAAATTAATCTTGTATGTTGATCTACCCACAGTTCACACACATACTTAAAAAGAACTAGAAATATGTACTATATATCTGTATTTCTTGGGCAATCATTTTTTTCCTAACACACTATAGGCCTAGTTAAAATAGGTAAATACAGATTCTGATAAGGAACTGTGAGAGAGTGCTGAAACAACACCAGGTAGTAGAAGCAGAGAAAAAGAGCAAAGAATCTAAAGAAAAGAAATATGTAATTGCCTGAGGAGTGAAAATCATGGTTTTCCCAACACAACTCGGTAATTTTGGTGTACTGAAATTAACAGCACAGACAGGTAGTCAGAAAACACATGAAGTCAGTTTAATTAGGAACATTTGTATTTCCTTGCTATGGAGAGAACTTGGCAAATTGTAACTTCAAAAGTATGCTTTCAACATATTTAAAAGAGTTCCTTTTACAATAATAGTTGCAATTAATTCTGATTTTGCATTTGTTAATTCCAATTACTTGCAAGTGGAACATGACACAAATTATGCAGATTTGCTTTAATACTAGATTTAGCTAATGGTATCAATGGCCACTTTGCATTATTCCCCTTCAAATGCAAAAAAGGCTTTCTTCCTCCCTATTGCCCTTACAGACTGCAGTCATATCACCTCCTAGTCTTCATATTTGTTACTTTTTCATTAAACAAGACAGGTTGGTCTAAAAACCATTTCATAAGAAACACTTTTTCTTCACCAACTGCTTCTGTGCAGTTGGCACAGTTTCAATTCTAGCACAGGAGACCAGAAATCTCTGTTCCTTGTCCTTTTGTACCTGAGAGTGACAAGCCCTCAGCATTGTTGGAAATTTTCTTTCTTAACACATGCTAAGGTTATATTTTTTGCAGATGCATCACATTGCATAGCTGCATCTATGGCTGTCATCAGCCAGCGATTAATATATCTACCCAGTCTGTCAGCCAAGGGCAGTTACACAATGTGTTTTCTTCTCCAGCAAGGTCATAACAAAGAGCTCTTGTCACGGTTAGAATCATAGAATGGCTTGGGCTGGACAGGATCTTTACATACCATCTAGTTCCAATCCACCTGCTGTAGGCAGGGTCATCTTTCACTAAATCAGACTGCTCAGATGAATACCATTTCTCCTTATTGCTTTTGTAATAGTCCTTCTAAAATTTACTCTTAAACCTTGTATGGGACCACAAATGCACTTACAAACTTTCATATACTTAAATCATCTGGTTTTTCCCTTCCTAAACCAAGGAACCACTCGTGCTCTAGCCACATTGTACCACTGTGCTCACAACACTATTATTAAACTCCCATTATGGGATCTTCAATAGCTTGTCTGTTTTAGAATTCTGGAATGGACATTTTTCCACATCACCTTCCAATTGGATTTTGTCTTTACCTTTGCTATACAACTTTTATTTTCAGACCTTCTTTTCTGTCCTCTTTCTTTAATCCTCCACAACTAGCATAGCCCTTACTAAAAGGTGGCACCAAGTGCTAATTTAGTTCAAGAGCCATTCCTGGTTAATTATTAATCTCCTTCACATGCTCTCTACATTGTGGCCTTCCTTTGTAACTTGTTTGCTTTGCACTGAGACAGGTGAAGACTTTTTATGCTGCTCATTTCAGTATCTTCACAATGTCTACACTGAGTTAAATTTTTGATAACTCTCAGCTTATTACTTTATCTCCCAGTCTAGGGTAAGGATAGAGGCAACTGACAAGAGGCGACTGCAAAGTTTCAGTCGCTAATACGAAGTATTGGATTCAGTAGTACTGGAACAATGAACAGCTTAATCCTTGGTTTATCCAGGGTCTAACTTCAAACCCACCACTAACAAACGGCTTTAGTAATTTATTATTTTTGACAAAAGTTATTCTCTAGCCTCTGATTTTTGCCAAAAGTAACAATACAAACCATTGATGCTTAAATAAAAATAAAGATTCCAAATACTAACAATGATTTACCACCTTTATCTAGACTGACTGTTGCTAATCTTTTGACAGCTTACCTTTTCCAGAAAGACTTTGAAACACTGGTGTCCTTTCTCTCTTATGAGACCCAAAGGCAGAAGCATATTGTTTGAAGGATTAAACTGTGGGTGGTATTATTCCACTACTGCTCTAAAGAAACTAAACTGGCCATTTCTATTCTAAATACAAAGATGGTAAGTCAGACCAATATACAGTGTTGCCATATACTTGTGTCATTAGAACTAACAAACCACACATTTCCCTGCACACTCATAAACTCCATTATCTGCAGTACATCCCTGTGATAAATGACTGAGTCTCCAAACAGGATTACAGACAAAATTTACAATTTATTATGCGAATATAGGCAAGCAAACAGCACTGGGTGAGCAGAGAGTCTCTGCTCTACCAACGTGCGCACTGCACAGTTCCTGGTTTTGGTTTTTAAACTCTCACGTTAATACATATTCATGAACAGGTGGGTTTTTGCAAATGAACTTCAGGGTAAGGTATAGAGTCTTGTTGAACTTCCTATCTCTTCTCTCTGCGCATGCATGCTCCCGAGTAAACACCTAAAAGCATCAGCCTAAATTTAACCCCTTCTCCTCTGGCAGGCTCAGCTGGATGCCTGTGGCTGGCCAGGCCAGTTACTGATGGCAAGCAATTCCTATCCAGATCAAACCACAAAAAGTTCCTCCAGGAGCAACACAGAATTTTATCAGTCTGGACCAAATAGAAACTGACATTTTACAAGGCTTGACAAAACATGGTAAATGCTAAGCAAACAAAACAAATTGTACAAACAATCTATATTATTCAGCCTACTACCTTAATCTTTTATTTCTAACCCCCCTTTTTACCAGGTTAGGAAACTCTTTTCTTCTTTCAATAATTCTTCAAAGTATCTTTGCCCCCCGCCAAGCACACCCTCGCACACAGCCCATGCGGTGCCCACGCCTCACCTGCCCTCGCAGTCCCTCAGCCCTCTCGGCTTTTAATGCTTCACTGTGTGCCACAGCAGCTTCCAATTCCAAATAATATCACAAATAAAACAAGGCTTATATTAACAAAACAATATTGAGGTAGATATATTGAGGTAGATTCTAATATTGCTCCGTATTGACACGAATCAGGAGAACACATTTCACATCCCTAAGCCAAATTCCTCCTACCTTAAACAATCCGACCTTGTGTTCTTTGAAAAAAAAATCCAAAACTAGATCAGGCAAAATAGAAATTGCATAACATTTAAAAGATTGATATTTCAACTTTTGTCTTTCACACTGTACTTTTTTTGGCGGGGATCGAGTTAATTTTCTTCATAGTAGCTAGTAGAGTGCTGCGTTTTGTGACCAAAGCAATGTTTCAGACACACTGACGTTTAGCTGTCACTGAACAGTGCTTACGTGGAGTCACGGCCATCCCTGTTTCTCATGCAGCTCTGCCCATTCCCATCCCAGGAGGAGTGGCACAAGACGTTTGTAGGGGTCAC